TCCCGCCTCGGCCTCCAGGAACTCCAGGGAGCCCTGTGATGTGGCGGTGGGCGCCTCCTCCACCCCAGGCCCAGCCCGACCTCGTGTGAAGGCGAAGGTTCCGCGCTGGGCCGTGTGCCGCCTGGTGGCCTCAGCCAGGGGACAGGCCCTGCGAGGTTTCCAGCCCGTTTCCACGAGGGTGAGGATCAGGGCCGGGCCCACCGCGAACACACGCGAGAAGCAGGCTCTGTTCCATGTGGCCACTCCGGGCCCCAGGCCAGCAGAGGCTTCCAGGGCGCGTTCACCCTGGAAACGGGAAGGAAGGGGAGAACCCTGTGTGGGCGGGGCTGTGGGTCAGGCCTGTGCCCACCTGGTATCAGCCAGAACGCGGCCGCGTGGCCACACCTGGCGGCCTGTCAGGCGGGAGCCTCGTGCCAGGGGAGACTGATGGGCCCGGGATGCTCTCACCAGTCTGCAGGACCCTCCTCGTCCCTGGGAGCCACCACGCTGGGGGTGTGGCTGTGGCTCCTGGGACCAGTCATGCATGTCGTGGGAGCCCACGCCTTCTTCCCAGGCCGTGGGCTCTGGGTGGGTGTGGGACGCCGGGGACACGGGCACGGCTGCAGGAAACAGCTGATCGGGGGTGGAGAGACCGCGTGTAGGCGTGTGTGCCACGAGACTTCCCGCCTGCGCTGTCCCCACGTGCGTGTGGGTGTGTGCTCGGCCTACGGCTCGCACCCGTCTCACCAACTGCTCCCTCCCCTGTCTGGTCCCCCCACGTCCCCCAGCTGGCCCCTGCTGACCCAGCCTCTGGGAGGCCCCAGCCCACAGGGCACCCATTCTGGCATGGGGCGAGACTAGGCCTGGGGCGGGCGCTTCCTGCCTCGTCCACGACTCTGTCCCACCTGGGTGAGCAGGGCGGTGGCCGGGAGTGTCAGGCGAGTGGATCTGTCTATGCAAAGGGGACCCCGAGGAGCATGCAACAACGCTCGCCAGAAGCCAGCAGGCAGACGGGGTGGGGCTCGCCCAGGGGAGGGAGGGGTCGGGACCCCAGCCCCAGCCCCGCAGCGCGCGTGGCTTCTTTCCGCTTGGAGACTGGCCCGGCCCACAGCAGCCCCCGCGCTGGCCATGCAGCCGGGCCTGACGCCGTCCTCCCTCGCACAGGGCTGGGGATCTGTCTACGCCGGCTCGCGCTCAGGTGTGGTGCAGGCCCCGCTGGCCTTCTGCGGGAAGCACGGCTCCTGCGAGGACTGTGTGCTGGCCCGGGACCCCTACTGCGTCTGGAGCCCGTCGGCGGCCGCCTGCGTGGCCCTGCCCCAGGCTGAGGGCGACGCCAGGTACAGGGCGGGCGGAGGGTGGGGTACAGGGGGTGCAGCAGGGAAGGAGGCGGGACGTGGCAAGGCGGGGCGCGTGGGGGCGGGGACCGGCGGGGAGCAGG